TGGACCTGTTAGTCGCGTCTTAACAAGACCTTCCCACATTCCACCTTTAATGCCCCCACATTGGGTCACAAGCCTGTGTTACTAGGCTCGGCAATCAAAATTTTAGGAGTTAACAATATTAAGTAGTTAACAAGGGTTATGCTTTTTCAATGTGGGATTACTGTTTTTTAAAGATAGAAGGAGAAAAGGACTCTATATTAATTACAAAACAATCTTCCTTCCGCATTGGTTAAAACTTTTAACTTAAAAGGATGATTATACCAAGGGGAACACGCCAAATTGTATCCTGTTTGTCCTTCCAACAGAAGGAAGCCCTAGCCTTAAGGTTCATCCAAAGGTCCAAACTTTCTTTTGGTATTATGTTTTCTACTGAAAGTTGTTGATTATTTATGAGTAGTTGTATGTGACTTTGGACACCAATGACCAGCTGCTTGTTGTCTGTGACTTTGGCCCGGAGATGAAGGACGGAAGTGATTCAAACACTGGAAGAGTGACTGCTTCTACTTTCTCTCAACTTGCTAACAATGGCAATGGTCTCATGATCCTAGTTGAGGGAAGATAATAACGTTGATCTGTTTTCACCATCTTCCTCGAGGTCAAGTATTTGTTAATCTCACTTGTGAGTCCAGTGTCACCTCCCTCCCCGCCTTCTTCGTGGAATTGATTGAAGTTCTTGTACACATTCCTTGACAATGCTGCAAACATCCAAGAGCCTAGGTAAGTTATCTAATAGCTCATTAGTCAATTTCTAATTAATTATGGGCCAAGTCTTGTTAAGTGAGGGGCAACTGAAGCAACCTATCAATACAATCATGCAAGTCTTGGAGGCCACTTAATTTGTGGCTCTGATTGATGAGGAGGATGTGGAGGTGGCCTCAGAAGGATTTCAATCTACACAAATGTTCATCGACTTCTTGAACAGGTGTGGCCTTGAGGGGAAGCTGTTGGAGCGGATGTGGAAAGCCATTTCTTCTTGTTGTGTCTCGTGAGAAGATAGAATATAAGACCTGGGTAGGTTGAGTTGGAGGACATGGAATCTTGAGAGAGGTAACATGATTTGAATTTGATATCAGAGGATGTATTTGTATACAAGTAGGATGTTGAAGAGGGAGACTCTTGTTTTGATCAATTTGCCCAAATAAATAGGCATTCAACTCCTTCCTCCCGATCTTGAATTAATGGATGACACTAGCTTGATGTTGCACAAATTGAATTTTAATGCCATAAAAAAAAGAAAAAGAAAAGTAAGTTAAATAAATAAAAATGATTAAAATTCAAGTTAAAAATAAAACTTGTAAAAAGGTAAATAAACAGGGCACCACAAATTCTTGGGCACTGGTGTTTTTGCAGAAAGCTACTTTTGTGGTTGGGCCACAAAGTAGTGCAATTAAATAATGGGCTGAACTTAGGGCACTGGGCCATAGGTTTTCTACGTGGTAAGACCAATTTCACATTCCACCTTTAATGCCCCCACATTGAGTTACAAGCCCATGTTACTAGGCTCGGCAATCGAAATTTTAGGAGTTAACAATATTAAGTACTTCACAAGTATTATACTTCTCCAATGTGGGATTTACTGTTTTTTTTCAGGAGAGAAATCTTTTTTAGTGTTTCTACTATCTTTATTCTCAATATTAAAAAAAGGTAAAATTCAAATCCCATGTCTACACATGGATACCCATTGATTAAAAAAAATTGATGATATTGTAGCAAGCAGGATCATATCGTAATTAAGCTCAAACCCTTATTTAGGCAAAATAGCATGATAATTGCAGGAATTCAGGATTAGTAATAGTTAACCATATAGGCACCAAAATTGACTGAGATTTTTTTTTTTTTTTTGGAAACACAAGGGCGATAGTCTTAAATTGACTGATATTTTGAACAAGAACAAGAGAGTACGCAGTAGCAATTTAAGCTAAGGAGTCTATCCCAAGGTCCAAAATTTCTCCAAGTACGCAACACAACCGTATTGCCATGTATAGACATCCCTCTTGGTCTTATATGTTTACTGCTCAAGGCGTGTGAGACATCCCACTTGTGTCTTGTGAGAAGATAGAAGACCTTAATGTGTTTGCTTTCCATATGTATGATGTATCTGCATAATCCATATGCATGTTCCCTAGGCGATGTTTGTGCAATGTCCCTTCCTACATTAGCATAACAACTCGTGAACTAATTAATTTATCTTATAAACTTTCATATAGTATTTTATTACAGTGTTACAATCATTCAATCATAATTCACGTATATGTTTACTCATAGATGGAGAGGCTATTTGTTTGCCGGGTGGCTATATTCAGGAGCATTTTATAAATAGCATTGCTGCGCGGCTATACTCTTTCCATGTGGATACTATTATCTTTTTTCCCCAATTTTTGTTTATCGATAGCTTAGAGCATTTTCCATTACGATTAGGCCTTTACGCGAGTCTCTATTGTACCCCTTTGAGTTTTTACTTTTCCAAAGTTATTAGCCGTTTAAAAAATTTAGCATTTCCATGTTTAATACTCATATTTTACACATACATATGTATTTTTCATGTTTAATACACTTTGAGTTTTTACAAAATTTTCAATAATACACATAAAATTCACGTATTAAACACCCAATTTTCACATACTATTGAATAAAAATAATATATATTAAAAAAATTTAAATCTATAAAGTACATATATCGAAACTAGCAAATTAATATCTATAAAGTATAAACTAATGCAAATAGAATGTTTTTTTATATATAATAAATCGTATAGATGTTGCGTAGATACAGCTGCACCAAAATGGATTCAGCTGCATCCTCAACTTGTGATACTCGCAAGTGCACGAGCCGTTCATAGCCGCATGGCTATACTTCGGTTGTTTTATTATAAAAAAGACTAGTATAGCCGGGCGGCTATACCCTCTTGATTGGGCGCTATGCGTTCCTTTTTTTAAACAAATAGACTCGGGATTTTTTTATAAAAACAGTATAGCCGAACGGCTTTACTATGGTCTTTTTTATTATTTTTTATTTTTTATA